CCCTCTCATTCTCTCTCTCTCAAATAAATAAATAAAATCTTTAAAAAAAAAAAAGTCAGTGTTTTAGAGGAATCTTTTCAAGAGTAAATTCATTATTCTGCCTCTTAAAACCTCAGTGTACCTTTCTCACAAATCACATGTGTCAACTCATTCAAGGCTTCATCTGACAAAAGAATAGCCTACTTGTCCGCACCTTCCACCGTTTTCTGAGAGAGAGCTGCAAAGTTCAAGGCATTTTCTCTCACAGTTACAAAAAACTGCAATGATAAGGACAATATGCTTTAATGCTAAGGTATTTTTAATGTCATATTCTTCTGGAAAGAACAAGCGTCCTTTGAAGTGAACTTCTGCTTTGGTAAGCCAAGTGACAAACTCCCAATATATCAAAATTTGAGGTGAGCCTTGACAACAAAAATCTCACACTTTCAAAGGATTTGAAGTTTCAATGACATCTTCCTTAAGGAATTAAAAAAATACGGTGTCTCACTTTGTGACCCTTAAAATGTATCAGGAATTAAAAAAAACCACGTTGCCTTACTTTGGGGCCCTTCAAATGTATCTTCTGTAAGGAAAAACACGTTAGGGAAGAGTTGCCTTGTGGCTCTGGCCCAGATTTCTTGATGTGTTGGTATAGACCAGGGGTCTTTCCGCACGCTTTTATTATTAAGAGCACAGAATGATACACTTTTTATTATGTGAAAGGCAGCATCATGATCTACACTGTATTTGGTTTTCATTGTAGTATTTAGAAGTAGCCAAAAAAGTTGCTAACAGCTTACCCCCTTCAATATGTATTGCACATAAAATTTATTAGTCTGCTAAAATTAGACAGTGTGAACGTTTTGATAAGAACAGGGTATTTATTTATACAACCCCAAAAAACATTCTTAGAACATACTTAGGAATTACAGAAGGGAAAAGGGCAGCAGACCCCACCTTCACGAAGAGATTCATTGTTAATGTCCGTGATGCACTAGGAAGGACACAAGGTCACTCCTGTGCTTTTGCTGCCAAAGCCCTAACTACATCTGGTCACGACACATCAGATGAGCCACAGTGAAGGCACTGCACAAAATTAATGTCTGGTCAAGGTCATGACAGAAAAGAGGGCCGAGGAACTGATAGTAAAGGAGACATGGACATTAAATGTAGTGCTTGATGCTGGATTGGATTATTGACCAGAGTTACCACTATCATTATTATTACTATAATTTCACTATATTATTATTGGGGCAACTGGTGAAATTTGAATAACATTTGTAGGTTACAAAACAAGAGTGTATCAATGTTAAATCTCTTCATTTTGATAGCCATACTGTGGAAAGTAAATCCACAGCAGAGTATTAGGTAAAGGAGCACACGGTCTGCAATCAACTCTGGAACGGTTCATGAAAATGTGTGTTGGTGTAGATAGAATGGGGAAGCAAATATGGCCGACTAGCTAGTGATGAATCTGTCTGATAAGTGTCTGGGAGTTCTTTGTACTACTTTTGCATTTTGGGGGTAAGTTTAAAACTGTTTCAAAATAAAAAGTTATCCTTTATTAGGAAAACCCTTATGATAACATTTCAAAGAAGAAAACAGAATTTTAAAAAAGCATCCTCATTGAAGCTCCAGTGTAGCTGATGGCTCTAACGGGAATATTTTATTTAAAATAATAGCAATTCCTTTCATTAGTATTCCAGATGTGCAGAATGAAGTATGGGGGTTCCATCCCTCCTTGTGTTTTGACATAAGCAATGTAAGGCTTGGAAGTAGGTTTCTGACAGAGGAAATGCCCTTTGCCCAAAAACAGATGAGCTCTCAGAGCGCCATACCAAGAGCAGACATGCAGGAGTGGCCTCTTAATGAATTCAGGAGTGGTCTTTCCAAAGACAACTTGCATTTTGTCACTCCCTGACTAGAATAACTGGATGATTCTCCATTGCCTTGAGGAGGAGGCCCAAATCCTCTGGCCTCAGCTCAGCATGAAGCTGGTCAGGTGGGGCCCCCTCATATCATTCCAATAGCTCTCCATAAATACCTCTATTGTAGTGTTATACAATACCATCAACTTTGTTTATAAGTCTGTATTCCCTCTAGATGATAAGCTCTTTGAGGATCTTGGTATCCACAGACACGTAAGTTTGTTGACTAAATATTGAAGAAGCAAGGGGAGCTAAGGTAACCTCTTGCTCATCCACCCCTTCTCCTCAGCAGCACCTTCACACTCAGTTTTGCAAAAACGGTCTTGGGGATCATCAATGTTACCCACGGAAGACTGCTGTTTAGAGTACTCTGTTACAAAAGCCTGTCACTGGAAAAATAGCCAGGGAAGCCATGTTCCACCTTTGCCAACTACCAGGGTGCTCCACACACAGAAGGAAATCGTCAAACTTCCTGCCTCCCTGGCAAGTTCGTTCCCTCTGTTGCTGCCATTTCCTCAGCTGGAGCTCTCAGGCTAGATGGTCTCTAAGGCCTCAGCAACCATCTATTTTCAACACTCCTGTTTTTAAAATATGACTTTGACAACACCCTAGAGAATCAATATGGCAGCCTTGCTGCAAGACACAGGCACTCACCATTCCAGCAAACTTCAGAAAAGGAAAAAAGAAACCAAAAACTAAAAACCCAGCTTTGCAGGGGTGCCTAGGTGGCTCAGACGGTTAAGCATCTGCCTTTGGCTCAGGTCATGATCCCAGGGTCCTGGGATAGAGCCCCACATCGGGCTCCTGGCTCAGTGGGGAGCCTGCTTCTCCCTCTCCCTCTGCCTCTCCCCCTGCTCATGCTCTCTCTCTCTCTCTGTATCTCTGTGTCTCAAATGAATAAATAAAATCTTAAAAAAATAAAAATAAAAACCCAGCTTTGCAAATTAAAAAAGGAACGGCTGTTGTTTATTTTTAAGAAATAATTTTTCTAGGATTTTTTTTTTAAACTGGAGAACATACCCTAGGACATTTAAAATATTTTATTTAGAAAAGGTCAAATGCTGATAACTTTCCTGAGGAGACACCTGTTCTTGAAATGCGATGTATTTCAGTGTTAACTCCCCTTGCGGAGGGAGGGGGTGTTTCAGGATACAGCTCATCTTTCTATTATTAGAAAGCCTGTGTTGGGGTGAGCACTGGGTTACAAGAATGAGCCAGAAGCTTGCTGGAACTTGTGGCAAAACTGGGCAGAGACTGTAGCCCCAGGGAGAAAGGTGAAAAGTCTGACAGAGATCTGGCAGATCTAGGGCAGTTCCAGTGGCCTCAGAGAACCTGTCGCTCGGCAAGGCACAGAACAAAAGGGGAGGACAAAGACGGGCAGAACTGGTGGGAAAGGAGGAAGACCACTGATGTCACTTCCAGAAAATCTGACTGGAAGTAAGTGAAGGAGGGGGAAGAGGGCTGAGATCCGGGGGGGCTTCGGGTGACAGAGGCCAAGTGGGAGACTGGCTGGGAGATGTCCCACCTGGACAACGGTGCTGTGAGGAGGCATGCAGGCCAGCGTTCCTGAGCAGTCAGGGCCAGTCCATGGCTTGACAGCTCGTTGGGGATAATTAGAGACACCTCCTCCCAGGTATGTTGTGAGGTGTTGGGGACATCAGCTCTTGGCACTGACAGAGGACACGGTTTATAGGTGCTGGCTCAACGCAGGGCTGCAGGGTGGGGCTGGCCGGTGGCGGAATAGCTAGAGGGTTCAGTTGTCTCCCCCTTTGGACCCAGAGACGGTGTGCAGGCAGCTGGGTGTTCATCTGAGGCCAGCAGGGCTCAGGATGATGGATGGTGATGAAGAGTGCCTACCAGGCACACCGGCACCCAGTCAATTCCAGAGCCCCTCCCCTTCTACACAGCAGTAATGCTAATCCTGCAGGTGCACCTCCCATGTGCCAGCACTGCTTCAAGCCTCCTAACAACCTCACGCGGTTGGTATTGTGATCACCTACCCCCATTTTACAGTTGAGAAAAGGCAGACAGCAATAAGGTGATTTGCTCAAGGTCACATAGCGCCAGGGCGGTCAGAATCTGAGCCCAGGTGGTCTGGCTCCAGTATATTCCCTCGAGACAGGGACACTGTCCAGTCCGCAGACTCAGAGGTCCCGGGCAGGTGTCTCTGGAGCACTTCCTGCCCCAGGCCGACGCTCTTTCTAGGTCCTGCCTTGGCCCTTGAAAGCGCAGAGGCAGCCTGAGCCCCGTGAGGTCGGTCTCCCCTTGGGCTCTGGTTCAGAGCAGTCAGCTCCCCCTCTGGGTGGTTCAGGACCGTGCCAGGGGCAGCTGAGATGGGAGAAGAGTGCGCTTGGAGCACAGCCCCAAGGCGCCCCTGTGTAAGTCATCCCCGTTTATTAACGACATCTGAAATGATCCAAGATGACTTTTCTCTCGGATGCCATATATACAGATCTCTAAGAGTTTCAGAGTACTGTGGAACACACAGTCGTAGTTCCCACATTTTACACTTTCAATGTTTCCTTTCTCTTTTAAAACGCACACTAAGCCTCACTCCCTCCAAAGACAAAGAACAGGGTGGATGCTTGGGAGGTGGATCTAAATGCCATCTTGAGTGAAAGCGCCGGTTTACTGTACGGAAGGGAGCCTTCCTTTCTGTAACGCAGTGTGATGTCCCAGGGGGCCAGTCCCCTGACTTGTTACCCCCACAGCTCCCTAGAGAAGTGGACAGAGGATTCTGTCAGATTCTAACAGGCACTCAGGAATTGTTTTCAGTGTGCTCAGTTGTGGGGTGTGAGTTGTCGGGGGAGAGGACGGGGGGGCAGTCCGGAGAGAAGAAGCCTGTTCCCTGGGAGCTAACGCAACTGGCCTGTCATTTTCCAACAACAGCGCTGGGGAGCCCAGAGGGCTCTGATGAGGTTCGGGGGCAAATGCTGGGGTCCCGGGTGGAGACGCAGCTTGGGCTCCAGAGGGAAAACCTGCTCCTACCTGATATAGGTTGTGGGCTTCAAAGACTTTTTGGATGGTGGCGGTGGGGGCGGGGATGAGAGAGGTCAGTGGGTTAAAAAACACTATAGACGCTAGACCACTAACCTGGATGACGTGAGTTCCGGAATTCTGCGGGCCTTCCCCAGAGGATGGGACCAGCACACGGGCGGGAGCGGCTGAGCGCGCCTCACCATTGGACGCTTCGCTTCCCGCCCCCCCGTGGCGTGCGCACGCACCCTCCTAAGGGCCGCTCTCGGAAGCCTGGCTCCCACCGCTATTCTGACCGCGTGGCGGGCTACTGGCTTCCGGTCACGTGTTTAGAGAGCGGCGGATCTAAGACCCACAGCGGGCAGCCAGGCTCCCAGGGCCTTGCCCCTGTGCACTGCGGGGAGCCAGCCTATTCCTTAACCAAAAGCCCCGTGTACTTTTTTTTTTTTTTTTAAAGATTTTATTTATTTATTTGACAGAGAGAGACAGCAAGAGGGGGAACACAAGCAGGGGGAGTGGGAAAGGGAGAAGCAGGCTTCCCGCAGAGCAGGGAGCCCGATGCAGGGCTCGATCCCAGGACCCTGGGATCATGACCCGAGCTGAGGGCAGACGCTTAACGACTGAGCCACCCAGGTGCCCCTGAGCCATCCAGGGTCTTGATTAAACAACTTGCAAAGAAGAGCATGAAGAAAGGCATTCAGTAAAAAAATTTCCAAGTGCTAATTGTATTACAGCCTGAATGATACGTTACTCTCTTATGTTATCATTCTTATTAAGATTTGAAGACGCTTTTCGTGAGCATGCTCTTCGCATTCCAACTGCAGCGTTCAAATGAACACGTTGCTTGGATTAATATATCTCTGATTACGTTCCTTCATTCTTCTGACGAACAGTTTGCTGAATTCTGAGCACATGGTACTGTGAAACGAAATAGTATCAGTCTGGATACCTGTTGCCCAGGCCTTCACAGGCACAGAAGGCGCAGTATGAACAGAGCTCCTGAAGTAGGTCAGCTGGAGTTAACAGGGAATTTCATGTGATTTTAAGCTGTATGGCTCATTATACCTTAAAGTGAGAAATTCTCACTGATTCTGTGTCATCTGACACACAAATGGTAAGAATCCTGATCCCACAAGGAACGACTGTCACTTCCAGTCGGGCTGTGAATGTGGGCAAATCCCACCTTCTCCCTGGGATTCTTGCTCCTCATCTATGACGTCACTCCAGCTGTCTCTGAACTTACTCATGCACGTCGTAGACTGAGTTTTCACAAGAGGACCAAAGGAAAGAAGAGTGTAAAAAATGCATTTGGCCTTCTGATTCCTAATGTTGAGGAAAAGTAAAATGGTGTTTTATTTTGATACAATCTTTAGGCTTTTATGATTTATTTATTTTTGAGGTTCCATTCCTGGGGTGCCCCCGTGTTATGCACAAATGACTGGTAGCATAACAGCTAAAGAAATCTGACAAATGGCAAAGGGAACCTACAGCACATGATCCAGTAGCAAATCTTAGTGATGAACAGAAAGCAAATTTTCAAAAAAATTACTTTAAAGTTTTCAACAAAGCCAAAGGATGAAGAGAAGACTGTCGTATTTCTGAGTTTTAAAATCTTATTACAGGAGTTATCTCTCAATATTATACACGTCAGAAAGTGTTGCTCTTGAAAGAGTTGAACCTTCTCTTCATTAACATGCTCTTTACATAAAAAAACTTCTTAAGAGTATGGAATTCTTTTTTTCTAATGAGCTAATTGAAATAGTGTTGTTATCTATAATAACATTTTGTCTAATCAAAACAAGAGTAGCTGGAGAAACTAAGAGAGCAACATGGGTAGCTGAAATTTAAGAACAAGAAAAGTGGCTTTTGAGTCAAGTACCAGCAAAAATGCAAATCCTGCAGAACTGTATGGAAAAATGTTCCAGATCCTACTGAAAAAGGAGCAATTCTAGAAACTGAAGCTGTTTATTTTTTTTTAAGATTTTATTTATTCATTTGAGACACAGAGATACAGAGAGAGAGAGAGAGACGGCATGAGCAGGGAGAGAGGCAGAGGGAGAGGGAGAAGCAGGCTCCCCGCTGAGCCGGGAGCCCGATGCGGGGCTCGATCCCAGGACCCTGGGATCATGACCTGAGTCGAAGGCAGACGCTTAACCATCTGAGCCACCCAGGCGCCCCAAAGCTGTTTATTTCTAGGCATCACTGGACCATGACAATGGATGGATAAATTCTAAGTCACTTCCATCCAGACTCTTCTCTCTAGGCATTACTATTACAGTTAAACCCTAGGGAAACCAACAGTTAACAAGATTCTAGAGAGCCTATCAATCCAAATCAAAGATTTCTAGATACTTACGGGTTTTAACTTTTTCAGCAAAACTTTTTTCCCCCTTATCAATGACTTGTGATTATAAATCTTTCTTGAAGCAGTCCATACATCCCTGCCTTCTTGAAAATCTGGTATTTCACTTCTTGCTTCTTAAAGACCCAGGATATAAATCACAAGCATCAGTCACTGTATTTGTGATGTAGACAAGTGACACCCAAGGAAATCTGTCCCCACACAGAATGCCTCTGAGGATTTGCTTTTGAGTTCTTATGCATGTGTTCTACTCATTTCTGTCTTTTTCCTTGTTGTTCATAGTACTTTTGTCTGCCCCTTCTTAATTTTCAATCTGATACAGGCTTACTTGTTTCAACTGTAGATAGACCCTTTGACATTATGGCTTAGAGTGTGGGCTCCAGCAGCAAGTGCCAGCTCTCCCAGCAGAGCTCTGTGATGTGGGGCTAGTTAATCCACCTGAACCTCTTCATCCACTTCATGGAGTTTGTATTGGTGGCTACTTCATAGGGGGTGCATACGTGTGTGTGCATGCATGTGCACGTGCGTGTATGAAATGGGATGATCCATGTAAAACCTTAGAATGGTATGTGCTGCAGAGCTCAGAATCCAATGATACCCAAACCAATGGCTTCAAGATATTTTCAGAAATGAGAGCTCATGTAAGGATAGATAAGCCATGGGGACTTGGAACAAACCCAGCCCAGCCACCCTCTTCACCCTCACACGCAGTGAGGGTCAGCGGTTGGCTATTCATCCCTCCCTCAGAGTTGGGAAATGATACAGAGCAATTCCTTCAAGGTGTTAGTTTTGTCTTCAGTGATCAGGACTCGGAAAGCAGTCACAGTTGAGGGCAGGTTCAGCAGCAACTCTCTGCCTACACACCGGGCTCTCCCGAGAGACGGCAGCCAGGCCTCTGCTGTGGGAAGAGCTGTCATTGCTCGGATGAGGACCGGAAAGATGGCCCCATCCGAACCCCGCCTGCCCGCAGGGAGACGATCATGCCATCAGATACAGGACTGCACTCAGAGACTGATTCTTATCTGAGACGCACAAATGAATCAGCAATTTCCACCGACCTGACCTCTGGAAATAAAGATCAAAATGATGATGGTGAGTGGCCTGCCCAAGTCACAGCCTGCTGCTGGAATCAGGCTGACTCTGCGTGTGGCATGGACCAGTGGTCCCTGAGCCCAGGAAGGTGACAGAACACGTTCTGGAGTCCGAGCACCTGGCCTCCAGTCCTGAACCACGTGCTCGCCGGCCCCACGACCCTGGGCACATCAACTGCTTCTCTGTGCTTGTGTTTCCTCCCAAGGGAAAGGACCAGACGGCAATGGCACCTGCCTCAGGGTGCTGCTGGGGATACCCCACCTGGGACAGTACTTGCCCTGAAGAGCTGTGTGAGCAGCACTCACTATTTACCAACTTCACCAAAAACCAAAACCAAAACCAACCCAACCAAAAAAACCCCAAACAAAACCCAGATGAAAACTGAGGTGTAAAAAAATTGTTTGTGATATGGTTTCATGCATTTTAAAATTCCAATTTGGTTTTTCTTTATATTTTTATCTAAACTATAGAATTTACTCCAGGTGAAAACATTTTCTGCAGAATATAGTATTTTTAGCTCTCCCCATGAAAGCCCAAGCCTTGAAAAGCTACAGAAGAGAGAGAGAGCCCCCTGCAAACGCGACAGTCTGACCATGAATCCCGAGCCAGGCTTGCTCTGGGGCCACTCGCAGAAGTGCCAGCGAGCGTGCACAGGGCAGGCGTCCCATGTCGGTGGCAGCTCCCATCTCCCTGCTCCCGAGGGCCTTGCTGGGCTCAGGAATACAGCAAGGATCCTGAGCACTGCACTGCTTCTCGGTGGGGAGGGGGTCCTCACCACTCCCCCGCCCGGTGAGCAACAGTACTCTGCATGTTTCTGGCACTCATGTTACCTGACAGCAAAATGCCTAAGGAAAGTTTCCAAAGCTCTAGCACTTGGCAACACCTAAAAAGGCACTGTAAATACATTTATAAATGTCACAAGAAAGGCAATTAGATAGTAGCTGATATTTATTGGATATTTACAGGGTGCCAGGAACAGTGCCAAGCACCGAGATGCATTGGTGCATTTAATTTCCATCACAAGATAAGCATTATTATTATTATCCCCATTTTACAGATGAAAAAACTGAGCACAGAGTTGTCATTTAAACTGTCCAAGGTTGGGGTCCCTGGGCGGCTCAGTCATTAAGGGTCTGCCTTCGGCTCAGGTCATGATCCCAGGGTCCTGGCATCGGGCCCTGCATCGGGCTCCCTGCTCAGCGGGAAGCCTGCTTCTCCCTCTCCCACTCCCCCTGCTTGTGT